TAAAATCAATAAAGAAAACATTACACACACTAAATACCATGTATTTGACGCACACACACATGCATACTATTATTACTATTTACTGTCAAACTTTTGTTCTTGACGTCTGTTGTCAAATTGAGAATAGAATATGGTTTGTTTTTGTTAATATTTTTTATAGTGTAGTCTTGGCGAAATTTGTGATTATAGAAGTATAAAACACAATCATAATAGTGTACAAACTTACAATTCCAATTGATTATAGTCGAATTTCGACTACTGCGGGACCTCTAGTAAGAATAATTAGTGATTTAGAGTCAATGGGTGTGTGAATGTCTACCACCGCGGTCAACAGGAGAATAATTATATAAAATTTATGTTTGCCCGATATGACAAACGCAACTCTAATCGTTGTTAGCCACTTAATAAAATTAAAAGTCCCATTTAGAAAAATACAAAACAATTAATCGTTCTTAAAAAAAAGACTAAGAAACCAAAGATCATAAAAAATGGCAAAATAAATTGTAAATCTCAAATAACTGATTTTGAGTTTTGACTACTTAAAAATATCAAGCGACTTTATAAAGAACTATTCAGGGCTTATCCTATAGGTATTCTATGCTGTGCCCATGGGAAAATCTGCAAATTCAAGATAAAAGAAAAGTGCAATCAGACCCTAAGTAATTGTAAATATTTCTCTAACAATGATACGGGCTTTAACAAGAAATCAAACTCAGAATTAATGGTCAATACGCTTAACTAATAGAACTATCAAATCACCCAATTTACTGCTTTTTTTTATTGCATAGATGGGTGGACGAGCTCACAGCCCACCTGGTATTAAGTAGTTACTAGAGCCAATAGACATCTACAACGTCAATGCGCCAACCACCTTGAGATATAAGTTCTAAGGTCTGCCCCGCCCTTCAAACCAAAACGCATTACTGTTTCACGGCAGACATAGGCAGGGTGGTGGTACCTACCCGCGCGGACTCACAAGAGGTCCTACCACCAGTATTTGAACTGAGTTTGGAACAAGAGTTGATTGCATATAACAAATAAAATTTAGAAATCGCTTGTGGTCCGTAATTGGCACATGAGTTTTTTCCACTGTTTTGAATCAAATCCTTTTTTAATCTTTAGTTTTAATTTAGCAGAATTAGGTCAGGTCTAACAGAAAAAGAGTGACTAAAGGTATCTAATTTGAATGTCTGTTCCTTACGGCATTTTATATCAATGTCATCCTTACAAACAATATATATTAATATATAAATGTACAGTGGTTTTTACGGATGTTCCGTTATATCTACTGTACCATGCCTCCGATTGACTTGAAACTTGGTATCCATGTAAAGAATACATGTACTTAATGGATAGGATAATATTCATATGAGTGTTTGACTCCCTACATCAGTTGCGGGGGCGTTAATGATGAGAATCTTTGTGGGGGTGAGAGATAATAATGTTAATTTTAAATGCCCAGCGAAGCGGACGGGTACAGCTAGTCGTTTTTGACGTGACAACGTCTTATAATTCGATGAAGCCGGCTGCAAGCACGAAAAAACATTACTCATGCGGCGTTACCTCGCTCTGAGGCGTGCATTTAAGGCTTGAAGTGCAAGCGAGAGCGCGCAACGAGCGACAAAGAGGCACAATCGGCCTCCGCGTTCGCGTTCGACATCTGTCTCTCTCCTACTTGAGTGAGCGATGCATCCGCGTGGACAGCTGCTATACAATAATACATTTACATGTTTTCGTCAAGTATGAAGTTCAGTGAAAAGTGAATGTGGTGTCAATTGTTTATAGCAACGATAATTGAAAAATGAAACCATTCCATCAGTATTTTCTTATGACGTTGTCACGTTCAACTATCGTAAGTAAACCGACTTTACAGACAATCGATTTTTTAAATTCATTCAATAGCAGAAAAAACAACAGCAGAATTTCGCATTAAGGCAACCTCATAAAAGATTTCGAAAACATCCAAAGAAAGAAACCTACATTCAAATAGCAAACTGTAATAGCTTACGTCGACCGACAGACACATCTTCCAAGAAAATCGCAACTGGGTCAGTTTTTTACCATATTTTACCCCGAATAAACATCGGCAAAACACATTTTGTGTATCAGCTGAAAGGGGATTTACGTCAAAACATATTAAACGCTATTCACGTTACCCGGGTATTTTGCAACGCTGGTAACATTATTTTTTGTTTAGCCATTTATGTACATACGTCAGTAACGAGGCAAAGGTGATATTGTGCTCTCATGAAGATAATGTGTCTGATTCAAATTTGATTACGTGAGTTTTAATTTTTTTATTGCTTAGATGGGTGGACGAGCTCACAGCCCACCTAGTATTAAGTGATACTCTGGAGCCCATAGACATCTATAACGTAAATACGCCACCCACCTTGAGATATAACTTCTAAAATCTCAAGTATAGTTACAACGGCTGCTCCACCATTCAAACCGAAATGCATTACTCCTTCACGGCAGAAATAGACAGGGTAGTGGTATCTGCCCGTGTGAACTCACAAGAGGTTCTACCACAAGTAAAAACATGTGTTACTGATCTATTCTATAGGAAGAATCTATTGAGTAAGTTACTCGATGCATTAATGAAATAATTAAAATAAAGTCTTATTATTAATTCTTAGCTGATAAACTTCTGAATATTCCAGTTTTTTTTTGTATAAAATTACTTACTTATTAAGCTCCGTTAAGGGTCCAACTCTCTTTGAAATAAAGCAGTCTAAAAGTTTAGTAAAACTACAGCCGGGAAAGCTGCGAATCAAACGGAAACGCTCTAACAGCGAAATCAAAAGCTCCGTTGCGCTCCAGTTCCGCTGAACATAATGATAAGGTGCTTTGTTGATTGTGAGCTTGAGCGCAGACCGACGGATTCGTTGTGACACGTGCGAGAAATTCAATGAAAAGAAAAACGAGCTTGAGGGAAAGGAAAGTATCGGTGTAACAAATCATTTGTTCATTTATTATTAGGATCTTCAATATGATTCGTGATACGATATGAGCATAGTAAAAGAAGTGGAAGTCGTCGCGGCCTAAGGGATAAGACGTCCGGTGCATTCGTGTTGAGTGATGCACCGGTGTTCGAATTTCAGGCGGGTACCAATTTTTCTAATGAAATACGTACTCATCAAATGTTCACGATTGACTTCCACGGTGAAGGAATAACATCGTGTAATAAAAATGAAACCCGCAAAATTATAATTTTCGTAATTACTGGACCTCCTGTGAGTCCGCGCGGATAGGTACCACCGTCCTGCCTATTTCTGCCGTGAAGCAGTAATGCGTTTCGGTTTGAAGGGCCCCACCCTTTAGCCGTTGTAACTATAGATCTTAGAACTCATATCTCAAGGTGGGTGGCGCATTTATTTCGTAGATGTCTATGGGCTCTAGTAACCACTTAACACCAGGTGGGCTGTGAGCTCGTCCACACAACTAGGCAATAAAAAAAAAAATGTTATTCTAAATTCAACAATTAATTCCTCAAACAAATATTAAACCGTATACTAAAACATATAAAACGCACTGAAAAAGATTTTTAATGGTTAAACAGTCAAAATCAAATGAATTGTGTCTGTCGGACATAAAATCAAACCACTATTGGAGCAATTGAGTTGCCCAGTAATAACGATGATAAATATTACTCAATATGACCGGGACAATAGGGGTGAACTGGTTTTTGTTACGACCCCAATTTGGACCATCCAATTACTGTGGCTAGTATTGAGTACCCAGTACCCCCAAATTGGTCAGCTGAAATAATGAAGAACCATCTACTTGGGTATTTGTTGGGACTTGTCAGATAACATCTCCTTGGTACGATAGACTATCTCAAGCTTATTTGTTTTGATGCGGTATATTCAAAAATGTTGGCATTTTTGTACCCTATTTGTGCACTACATGTCAGATTTCATTATCATGTTCTAATTAGATTAACATCTGGTTGGTTCGATCAAATCTGTTCAAAGGAATATCTGGTTATATTGCAGTACTAACGAAATGAAAAGCTAATATACGCACATGCCTAGCGCTGCGGTTATCCTGTGATGTGGCATTGAACATAATCAGGATCTGATTGCAAAGCACCGCCGACGCACTCAATTTTGTAGCGTTATAATGAAAGCTTAGGCGTCCTTGAGGCTTCAGAAGGCTTTAATGGTAATAATGTATTCAAATTATTCTTGGAGAGAAATGTCTTGAATAATCGACCCAAACGGAGTGACACTGGCTTACTGAATGATAATTTTGGATGAACAGGAATATTCATCCTTCATTAAGTCTTTCATGGAAAGGCCAAAATTAATTTTTAATGTTCAATTTCTAGGAATAGTTTCGTTTTTCGTTGCTTGATATTTGTCTAAAGAAATAATCTATAGAACACTATCATTATTATCAAATATGTAGTATTATTGTATGATTATCCAATTGTAAACCTAGTGTTTAGCTCATTTTATTAAGTACACGAAAGAAGCCGTACTCAGCATATAGCAGCAGCTTTAGCTTCGATTTTTATCAACAAGCTAGCCTTTTGTTTTATTTAGGAATCGGTTTATATATATCTTCTACTGCATAAGCTCGCACGTCAAAATATTGATAGCGCAAATAATATGCGATGACCTCCGCACGGTGGCCGGCAAGAAGTGGATGAGGAGAGCCGCAGACCGGGCTCAGTGGTGTGGATTGGGAGAGGCCTATGTCCAGCAGTGGACGACTGTGGCCTGTTGATGATGATGATGATGATGAAATAATATTCCATTACAATAATTCGATGTTCAGGTGGGCCGTATGCTCGTCTGCCTACAAGGGCAATAAAAAAAATTAAAAAAAAAAACGGGAAAATTCTATTGGCGACAATATAAATTATGTCATATAACTGGTAGATAGTATACAGCAATATGATAATATAATTAATAATCCACATTTTTTATTATATTAATTTATCTAAAGAATAGAACCAGGATAACATAAAAATCACATTTCAAATCGTGATATTACATTACTGAAAAATACATGAACAATAACGTTTTTATTTAGAAATTAGTTCTGTTTTAAATTTTACAGCAACAGCAGCTCATGGTCCTCTTTTATCATATCGGCTGCTTTTTCGCCGATCATTATAGTTGGTGCGTTGGTATGGGCTCCAGGTATTCGGAGCATCACACTGGCATCCACGACTCTCAGTTTTTTTACTCCGTAGACTCTTAACCTAGAATCAACCACTTCACCCATAGCACAAGTACCGGAAAAATGATAGCCAGAGATAACCAGGCATTTCACGTAACATTTCCAAAAACTTTGATCAGGAACGCAGTTACAAGCCCTTGGAATTATAAGCTCTGAATTAACACTTTTGAAGACGCTAGAGTTCGTAACTTTGAGGTAATCTTTAACATATTTTTCAAGGTTTTCTATATCTTTTTCTTCTGTGAGATAGTTAGGGTAAATGAGAGGTTGATCGCGAGGATTTGTTGTGTTCAACAGAATTTGGCCGCGAAATTTCGGATATAAGTAACTCACCAATGTATACATCAATTGCCGGTTACCACTATGGTCATAATAATCTTGGCAGATTTCGTCTTTTAAGCTCAAGAAAAACACACAAGAAGGCATAAAATCATTCTTGTCATTTAAAATAGCCGTCGTTATCTCGTAGTCAGGATACTTTTGAGTCTTGTTCAAAGCTGCGTATCCTATGATTAAAGGTAATGGATATTTCGAAGGATCAACTGGTTTCTTATTTAAAATCTCTTTACCCATTTTATGTACAACTAGAACGTAAATATGATCTTGCATTTTTTGTCCTACTGGTAAATCAGATATAACCTTGATGTTTTTATGTTTTAAATGCTGCCGAGGGCCAACTCCTGAAAGCATCAACAATTGAGGAGAGTTGATAGCACCTGCAGACACGATTACTTCTTTAGTTGCTCTTATTGTCAACAATCTATCATTTAATATTAATTCAACACCAGTTGCACATTTGTTGTCATCGAACAAAATTTTTGTAACTAAAGCATTCTTCAAAACATGTAGATTAGTACGATCCTGAAAATTTGAGAGAAATGCTAAAGCAGCACTTTGTCGTGTTCCATTTGCAATTGTAAATAATGGCTCACTAAAACCAACTGGTTTGTCTCCATTTATCCCGTATTCGATATCATGACCGACTTCAGAAAAAGCTTTCAAGTATTCAGATGTCACATCATTGTGTTGTGTGCTGACGCCCAAATAACCTTCAGTACCATGAAGTTCTTTGTCAACACAATTTAGATCGGATTCATCAAGTCTTTCACTCTTGATGAAGTACGGTAGCACGTTCTCCCACTTCCAAGTTGTATCATTAACAATTTTGGCCCATGTATCACAATCATGGCAATTACCTCTCGTGTAGGCCATTAAATTGATAGAACTAGTCCCACCGAGCATTTTCCCTCTTGTAACCTGGACGACTTGATTTTTCATGTATTTCATTGTTACATCGGGACGGATGTGTAATTCCAGTCTACTTTTGAAACCTTCATAAATAGGTTTAAGCTTGGAATCTGAAAAATTGTTGTAGTTTGAAGTTTTCATCACTTATATTTATTCTACACAGCTTACAAGTTAAATAAAAAATACGAATCAGTGAACAGAGACGAAATATAAACATTCGTAGAAGGAACAAAAATATTCAATACCTATCTTTAAATTAATACATGAAGCAAAATACACATGTGGCACTCGGGGACTGCCACGGTAAAGTTATTGCATAGCATTACATAGCATTTTTTATCAACTTATGCAATTATAATTAGACAGTAATAATTTAATATTAAAACAATAATAAAATAAGACCACGCTATATTTATAAACATTAACAAAAGCAAAGCATTAACTGTCTCCTTTACACTAATAAGCTAGACCGCGTGCGAGAGAGATGGGCAGACTTTTCATGATGCGCATGCAGGGCAACGTCACGCCGCGCGCTTATTCACAAACACTACACAAGCGCAACTTGTGAATGTGTTGAACGCGGGCTACATGGTAGGCGGAGTGGGGGTGTTAGGTTTTATTTTCATCACGGAATTTCTTGATTCGTTCGCCATGCTCAAAGCTCGCGATAAAAGCTATGCAATAGCTTAAAACTGTGTACCCTTTTTACCAAAATTGCGCGGACAGAGGAGTATGAAATTTCCCACACTTATAGAGAATATAGAGAAGGAGTGCAGAAAGCTATTTTTTTAAATTGTGCATTAATAATACATTAAATCAATAAAAAAAACATTACATACTCTACCATGTATTGTATTTGACACACACGCATATACTTTTACAAACATACATAAACACATACTCTTTGTTTACTGCCAAACTTTTGTTATTGGTTAAAGTTCGTGGTAAAATTGAGTATAGGTTACTTATTATTGTTTATCTTTAATATTATTTGTCTATAGTGTAGTCTTGGCGAAATCTGTGATTATAGAAGTATAATACTCGTAGTCTTTGACAATAGAACTATAATAATGTTCAAACTTATAATTTCAATTAATTATAGTCGAATTTTGACTACTGCGGGACCACTAGTTCTGTGTATTGTTTGACTTACAACAGATTCTATTGGGGGATCTCCTCCAGCTTCAATCAGCAATACATTGATGTTTTTAATCTCCGACAGTCTATTAGCGACCACGCATCCACCAGATCCAGCGCCGACAACAATGAAATCATACTTGGCACCATCTGAAACATCAAAGTAGTTCTCACTAGATTCAGGATTGAGTATTTGACACACTTGAGGGTTCGGTCGCGCGGCTGTAATACGTTTTGTAGGCAGGAGCACAATGACATGACTACTTTAAAGCTAAAATAGCCAGAAGGAAGTAGCAACCCATAAGGAATTACTACCTGTGTGCGATAACTTGAGACTTGCTTGGAATGCAACCCTCCGCTCGCTACCCCTGTAACTTCCCTCATGCTCCCGTGTTGTACTGTAGGCAACGCCATTTTTTTATTTATATATTATAATCTATTTTATAATCTTATTTGATTCATGATTTCGTTAAAATTGTTAGAGTTACTGCTATATTTCATTGTAATTTTTTGTTTTAAGTTTATTGTTATAATGAAGGGTAAAACTTTACATTGTGGAGAGATAAACTCGTGTTAAAGTGTTAGATTTTTTTGAAAATGTAAAACGGAATATACAGTTGTGCTTACCTGTGAAAATATCATAATCAGGATCAATCAGTTGTATGAGCTCGAAGGGTTGGGTAGCCGTTGTATTATTAAACTGATTGTTAGAACTAAGATGGGTGGGGCATTTACGTTGTTGATGTCTATGGGCTCCGGTAATCATTTAAGACCAGGCAGACCGTGAGCTCGTTCACCCGCCTCGTCACCATTCCGTCGATAATCCTCCGTGCTGAGGATCGTGGTCTCACTTACTAGCTTTCTCTTGGACTATACTGCGCCGGCCCTGTCTATCCTCGACTGCGCAGATGGCATCGTAGATTGAGGTTTAGAGAGTACAGCGTATCTGGTCCGACCAGCACATTGGCCTATTGCCTCTGGGCTTTCTTGTGCCTAACAAATAATAAAAAACTAAATTACCTTGAATAACCGCTTCTTGTGGCCAAAGATACCCAGTTAGCTGCAGAGCTGCCAGTATTTGAAAGCCGGTTTGAAGTCTATGAATTTCATTCAATGTTGATGTTGCATTCATTATTTCTATAAAAGGAACCAAGTAAACAAACTCTTAGATTGACTTTTTAAAATTATCTGAAATATATGAAATGATCAAACTTACTCCTAGTTTATCAGGGCAATGTGATTTTAAGCTACATTAGTTCATTCCTCGGAAAGACAATAAATTTTTACTTCAATCATCTAGCGCTTAATTTAATTTCCATGTTTTTACGTTTTACGCCCATTATTCATTAGTCTATCAGTCATTAGTCTATGTCCTGACAGCACCGTATTAGGAAGAAATATGTCACGGTGATCTTAAAAAGGGACATGTTAAATAGATATTTGATAATCATGATTCTGTGCGGCGCTTAAGAAATAGTTTAAGAGATGAAAAGTTCTGTGGTAGTTTAGTTTCCTGGTCCTACACAAATAATCTGCCACTGTACCATTCTATGAAAAATGGCACGAAAATGGCTCCTGAAAAGTCAAATCTGTCATACCCGTGGTGTTGGAACTGGCCCTAGAGTGAAATCTAAGAAGTTCAATATAGCCCCATATTTAAAACATTTTTATTTATCAGAGTATGCATCCTTATGATGTCTACGAGCCTTGATTACAGAACCATGATCTTGCATGTCTATCTGAGTGAGTAAAATAAATCTCGCTTATGACATTTTCAAGATAAGCTCGCACATATATTATACAAGTTCCGAACAACAACATTCGGACCGTCGGTCTACCGAGCAAATACCACCCGCTGGTGGAAGGTCTTCCCTTTGTCGTATATCTCTACAGTCAGGTTCGACAGGTTCACTCCACTAAGTGGGCATTTGGAACAGAAAAATGGTACCCCAATTTCTGAACAAGAAACTTCCTCTGAATGAAATGAATCTGATTGCACCTTGCAAAGTTAAAGGGGCTCACCACTGGATGGCGTGGGATATATTCAACGAGCTAACTTTAATATAGGATGTTATCTTTTCATCGCAGAAATGATTTCTGAACGCGATTTATTTTGTGGTTAACAATTACATATAACACACATAAATGAATAAGACGCTCATTAGAATTTTGTACCAAGCTGAAGAAGAAATATTATTTAATAATAAAAAAAAAAAAAAAATTAAAATACTCACAGAACAAGTCGACGTAACAGCTGTTGATGAAGAAATAAATGTAATTAAAATGTTGAAATAAAAGCCACGAATTCTGACGTCATCAAGCAAAACAAAACGGAATTTTCTTTACGAGTAAGTTAATTTAGTCTGTATCGTATTGAAGTTGTGAGTGATTATTGTTTGAAGTCATCGAATTCGTCCAAGTTTTTATGATGCTTAAATTCGAGAGACATTAAATTTTCTGTGTTATCTTTATGTAAACTTTAAAGGTAAAAAAGTAGTAAAATAAATTATTTGAAATGTGAAATGATGTAGTTTTTGGCTAACTGCCAGGACGAAGATTCTCGAGGCTATTTAGCTGCACGCTTAACAACATATATTGATTGATTGAGATTGAGAACTGGTCTGGTCTTATGAAGCAAATACAAAATCTAGCAGGAAGAATGGATTTTGGCATTTCAAACTGCTTCCAAACCTTCATTCCGGACAAGTGGTTTTACTGGTACGAAAACATATTGAGCGGTGAGGATATTAGGTATATGTATGGTATATGTACATAATATTATCTTCGAAGCGTCTTCTATGCCGCGTTATCCGTCAATGGAGCCGTCCAAATGTTTGTACCTGATTCAAGAAAAAAACATGTCTAGAAGAGGGGCATGACTAAAATCTATGTACTGATATCTTTTTAAAATCTATTGTGCCAGGAATTAATAGCAATACCATATAGCTTTATATAAAGCTACTCTAACTAATAAAGGCTATTTTCGGACATTTGAAGATATTCCTCGGGTATCAGCTCAGCTTCTTAGCTCTAAGTATTTGGTATAGCTAGTATGCTCAATGAAGACTCAAGCATTTTTAAAAGTAGTGAACGAGAATTATCTATTCGATAGATAGGCAGTTAGTGGTAGTTTTCCAATTACAGAGAATAATGCGACTCAGTGACGCACAATGCCGAATTATGCTGAAGCTTAATTGGAACGTGAATTAGTTTTCAAATGCATCAGCAGAGTGCGCTAAGTTAGCACAGTTTTAATTAACATTGATTATTTCTAAGAAACTACGACAAAACGAAAGCCTTACAGTTATTTTCAACATTAAATAATATTACTAACGATAATATAAACAAAATTTCGATCAATGCCAACTTAAAGAAAAAACACTTGTCAATTTTCTGTCACTGAGTCGGTATCAATTGCGAGTATCACGCGAGAGCAGTACTTTTGAGAGTGCTCGATTGTGCGAAGCGTTGCTGTAGTTGGAACATTCAACGTTGAGCATTATGCCGCATAATGCGCTCTCTGCTGTAATTGGAAAACTAAATCTGTGACGCACAGACCACACAATATGCGCAATTCAGCTCTTTATGGATGAAATGCGGTAATCTGTTTAGTCATTGTAACTATACAGAAACCTTAAAAGTTATATATCAAGGTGGGTGGCGCATTTACGTTGTATATGTCTATGGGCTCCGATAACCACTTAACACCAGGTGGGCTATGAGCTCGTCCACCCGTCTAATTATGTACTCATTATGTACGTCGCTTATTATGTACCTATACCGACTCAAAACCAGACGGGCCGTTAGCTCTTCTGTACACTTAGTGCAATAAGAGAAGAGCATAATGGTTCCTCTAAGGTGAGATAAGACAGTGTAATGAAGAAAACGAGTTTAAAGAAATTGTGATTATACTGGCAGGTGTTATATTTGCAAAAGTCACTGATCAATCATTTAAATAAATTTAAATAAAATGTACTGGATATGATTTAGCATTAAAAATACATAGTTTGTTTGATCATTTATTGAATGTATTGTTGTATTAAATTATAACAACTGTTCTATTTATATGGTAGGGGACGAGTCGACCTTATGTCATTCAGTAGGAAATTTGTTTTTATTTTATTTTAAACTGTAAACGACACAATCGCCCATGTCATTAACTATGTCAACAGATTTATAGCGTGTGGTCCAAGGTGAATGAATGCTCTCGGGATATTTTTTGACATGATCCCCTCATCTTCTTTTTCTTTCACATTATCCTCCAACGAAGCCGAGTGCATTCCTTTCTTGCAAATAATTTTATTAAACGACAATTCATTGAGACCACTCATCATCATCATTCTCCTGCCCTTGTCCCAGTCACCTGGGGTCGGTGCAACATGTTTTCTCCTTCCATACTGCACTGTCATATACCATTCCTTCGGTCAGTCTCCTCTTATCTTATCGTCTTTTACGCAATCCATCCATTCCTTCTTAGGCCTACTTCTTCCTCTATATCCATCCACATTCGCCTTCGAGACGAATCGAAGGCTCCGTAACGTCGACCGTCTCGGTACGGCAGCCCGTCAGGCCGCGCAGGCGGTGCCGCTGGTGTCCCGGAATACCCCGCTGAGTACCTAGCGGCCCTGACTGTTTGCGCCGGAGGTCGTTTGATTCCCACAACGTCGAACATTAGTGTGATGAACATGATTGCTCTTCGTCTGAGCGCTTGTTATCTATATATCTAATCCAGCCACAAGTTCTGTTACAAATGAAAATGAATTTTATTTAAAACTAGCTGACCCGCCTAAATTGATAAATAAAATACCTAAACTTTTGTATTAAATAAAATTTAATAAAATTAAAACAAACAAAAGGAATCCGTACGACGGGGAATACATCAAAGGAAAAACAAAATTGGTATTTTTATGTAATTCCGAGCATTTACATATATTATTTACCTTTTAAACCCTCTCTGAACTTCCACAAATAATTCAAGATCAAAATTAGCCAAATCAGTCCAGCCGTTCTCGAGCTTTAGCAAGACTAACGAACAGTAATTCATTTTTATATACATAGATGAAGTAATGTAATAATATTAAAATTTATATCTGCATATTTATTAAAATCTCAGCAAAAAAAATTCTATTCGAAATGGCCACCTTTGGCTAATATATAGGCCTTTAATCTGTTTGGCCACGAATCTATGGATTTACGCACTATTACCAAGGGAAATTCCGCCACTGCTTGCTTCAAAGATTTTTTAAGAGACTCAATGTCACCGGGTCGCTTAGAGCAGGACATGTAAAACTGACCATAATTGGAAGTCTAAAGGATTGAGTTCTGGGCTAGATGAGGGCCAGTTTTTAGCTCTTATAAAGTCGGAAACGTTGGTTTCAAGCCAGGCTTGGGTAGTTCGTGCCTTGTGACCAGGTGCAAAGTTCTGACGCAGGATTATGACCACGTTGTACCTTGCCGACCACTTGAGCAGCTTCTTTAGAACTGTGAGCGTACACTTTATCATTTTGCTTCTTCTTCTTATTCGAATACTTCATTGCTAAAGGTCGTGTCCTTGAAAGCTCTTCTTGGCTCTCTGTACCCTCAGCTTCCATTTGCTTCAGTTTTCTTATTGTAGTGTTATTCAACCGTGACATTTTTTTCATCGGTAAAGAGGATATTTCTGTGCTTTTCACCCGCGTATTGTGACAGAAGGCGTTTTGATCGATCCACTCTCTTTAATGGTAAATATTCATTTGGTAATCTTCATTTCTCGCGATTTTTGGCTTCCTTATGGGGTTTCGACAAAATATCCAAAGAAAAAACTTACATTCAAATAGCAAACTGAAATAGCTTACGTCGCCCAACACATCTTCCAAGAAAATCGCAACTGGGTCAGCTTTTTTCCATATTTTACCCCGAATAAACATCGGCAAAACACATTTTGTATATCAACTGAAAGGGGATTTACGTCAAAACATAGATAATAGGTTTTTAATCCCCTTTAACAATTAAATTTTTAGTAGTCAATTTCTAGGAACAGTTTCGTTTTTCATTGATTGACATTTATCTAAAAAAATAATTCTATAGATCACTATCACTATTATCAAATATTATTATGTAGTATTATTGTGTTTGGCTCATTTCGATAAAGTTTTATTGTAGGAAAATTACACATTTTTTTTGGGGTTGGTGCTTCCCGCTTCCGTAGGTTTAACCCGCGTTTCCCTACAAGTGACCCCTGGGTGGTGCTAAACGGGAGCCAAGAACAAAACCGGTGGTAGGACGTAGTCCGACTGGCTGGCGACCACCCTCCAACTAGAGTCCGCCGCCAAATAGCCTAGCTGTGTTCCGGCGTGTGGGTTGGAGAGCCAGTTCTATTCCTTCCTTTTCCCCTTCCTTGTTGGGGGTGAGTCTTGGTGATGCCTGGAATATGCGGAATAGAAGTGTGTGCGAGCTCGCGGGAGGTGACTGGTTGACGGGGGTATAGGGAGACCCAGTGAAACGGTATTCGCCGCCGCCCGCCGGTCAGTAGGGGACCTGAACCCGGGTTTCACTACTAAACTACGCCCCGGGAAGCTGTCCCGCCAACCGGTGTAAAATCCTGTCGTGCGGTCGCCGTGCCGGAGTCGGAGACCGGAGTGGATCCCGGCGATCGTACGCAGGGTGGACTGGGGGCCCTTACATGCCCTGCGTCAGTCTTTCACGAAACCCGTGGTTGAACATACACTGTGTTCCGCGCTTTATTCAGGTATTGCCTTGATTTTGCCTCGAACGTCCTACCTCTCCTAATCCCACTCTCCCAACAAATCAAAATTCATGACAGTCCGAAAAAGAAATAGGGTTTTATCGGCGACTCCCCATTCCACATTTAACGTGGATTTCAGCAATGTTAGGGGCCTACATAGTAACCTTGACGCCGTACACCACCACCTTGAGACGGCGCAGCCTGCCCTCCTTTTTCTAACGGAGACGCAGATATCTGCTCCGGATGATATCTCATACCTTGAATACCCCGGCTACGTATTGGAGCACAACTTCCTGCGTAAAGCCGGGGTGTGTGTATTCGTCCGGGCTGATGTCTGTTGTCGCCGTCTTCGTGGCCTCGAACAACAGGACCTGTCCCTCTTGTGGCTGCGCGTAGATCACGGGGGTTGTACCCGAATCTATGCGTGCCTTTACAGGTCCCACAGCAGTGATGCAGGTTCAGCTCTGATAGAGCATGTGCAAGAGGGGACTAACCGCGTGCTTGAGCAGTACCCTTCTGCGGAGGTGGTGGCTCTTGGAGATTTTAACGCTCACCACCAAGAGTGGTTGGGGTCCAGAACCACTGACCTCCCGGGTTGGGCTGCCTACGATTTCGCCTTGTCCTACGGCCTCACTCAGCTGGTGACACAGCCCACCCGTGTCCCAGATATTGAGGGGCACGAGCCCTTTCTTTTGGACCTTCTGCTGACCACCGATCCGGCCGGATACAGTGTGGT